ATTTGTCAACTCTGTCGGTGAAACTCCAACGAAACAGTTTGTCACAACCCCTCGTTTGTTGTCCTCTTCTCTCTCTCTATATATAACAGTCTGCAGAGTCCCCTCACTGATTACACTGTAAATGATAATCTACCCACACCAGATGGAAAACTCTACAGACTGTCGGTTCACACCCCATCACAAGCCAGCAAAACATCCACGAAACAAAGAAAGGTCTGTCACAGCCAAAAATAACATATGTATATATATATCGTCACAAGGATATGAGAGCGCAAAAGCGAAGAAAAACTGAAAGAAAACAAGAAAAGGAAAGTAAAAAAGAAATCGTATATAAAATATATATTGATATCAAAGCCCCTCGCTTATTGTCCTCTTCTCCCTCTCTGTCCGCGGTTCACCGGGCAGTCCCTCTATGACCAGATATATATACATAAATAGAATGACCGGTCATACAACGACTTTTAGGCCCAGGATAAATCTCCTCCTGCTTGCGGCCACGCTATCCACACATCGGAATGCTGCTGCTTGCCTCACCTCGAGCACACGGAATATCTTGAATGGGGGATCCCGATCCCGATCCCGACTTTCAGCCCTATCGCGATCCCGATCCCGCTCCAACTCACGACCCTCAACTTGGACGTCCAACTCCTGCCCCGGCTGCTGCTGGTCCAGACCTTGACCGCAGCGGATGACGTCATCACGCTGATGACTCTCCAACTTCTGCACCTGGTCCCGGAACTGACCCGTGCGGCCAGCTTCCTCCTGGTCCCGCTCTAGCTGGTCCCATCCTTTGTGGCCCAGCCCCTGCGGGCCCAAGCCCTGCTGGTGTTCCAATTGCTGGCGATCCAATCGCTGTGGGCCCAATCCCTCGCAGTTCAGCCGCCGGCGGTTGACCCGCCGGTGGTCCCAGTGTTCCGCAGAATGGTCCTGGTCCAATGGGAATCCAGGTGCCACTAGTCCTGTCGGCGCGGGACAGCTTTCTTCTTGTTGCTCCCATTTCTCCCCCACCACTCTCCGACGTCTTTTCTGTGCTGCCCCCATGCCCCTCATCACCATCCCCTGAGAGCTTCCGTCTTCCCCCGAGCACAGCGCACCCTCATTCTAACGGTATCGGACCGGAAAAATGGCTTGTATACATTCACGATGACGGCGCGTTTTGTTCGGGGGACGACGGTAGCGGAGCCGAGAGCAAAGCAGACGGGACGACGATGCATACGTCGGGCCTCGCTCCACTACTCTATAGACATGTGCAAAACGAGATCGAATCTTCCGGTCTGGAAAGATACACCGCCATGAGTTTTTTTGTTTTTTTTTTGTGCATGTCGAGAGTAGTCGAGCTGAAGGGGTGAGGCTTGGTCCGGGCGTGACGGGCTGGGGCTGGGTGACCCCTGTTGGATTGCTACCGTAGCGGTGAACCGGGGGGCCCTGGGTGAATGAACTTGATGTACAGCCTTGGGGCACTGGGCCCGTATATTAATAATAAGGCAGAATTGTTCAAATGCCCCTTAAAGGTGTTGTATTCCGTTAGATAACCCTAAAAGGCATGGGTATGACGAAATGCCCCTATGACAAGTGCGAAACTTTGCAAAATCCTGCAGACGCCAAGCGGACCTGTCATCATTTGCATACACCCCTACCAGGCCCTGGGAAACTTATCTATATGCCCCTGTATTTCTGGCTGTTGGGCCCTGCAGATGGCACAAAACATGCGCTGGCCCCTTCAGCCTGGGGCCGGGGCATATGGAGAAGTTGCCCCTGACCGGGGCAGGGCAGATGCAAAAGTTGAGGACATTTCTCTCAGGGGTATCTAACCAAATAACCCCAACTTTAAGGGGTATTTCAACAACTTTTCCTAATGATAATGATTTCAAATTTGGCCACGATTGAACGTGTAGAAGTCGTGCAGCGGTAAGACCCTTGAGGAGGGGCAAGGGTTTGGCGGCGAGTTTGAGATGCACCTCCATGAAAACGATGACGATGACTTCGCGGATGGCTTCTGTGCCAGCATCGTCACCCTTGCACACGCGGCCAGGAGTGATGACGTTTTCCATGACAAAAACAACAACAAGTGTGATGCAGCGTATGATGATCAAATCAGCAACAATAACAAAATTGCGGTCGATATTCGTGGTCACGTGAGTGTGATTTCCTTGGCTTTCATCTCGCCTCCCTTTAGGTTTTTTGTGGGGAATGATCAGGGGCGAGAGGGGTGGGGGATCGTAATGTTTTGTGAACAGGAAGGCCCAGCGGACAGGGGGGAAGTGGGATGGAGACGTGAAGGGGTGGGATAGGGAGGGTAAATGCTTTCATGGGTTTCACGCTCTTCTCCTGGTGTGGTTTTGCGGATTGTGGCGATCGGCTGTGGTAGTATAGCCAATATAAACCTTGATTACTGACTTCAGGTGTCTCTTCTTTTCAGCTTTCGGCTTGTTTGCTGAATGTGCGAGGGGTTGCTGGATAATTTAGGAAGGGATCATCTGGAGATGATGACGGGATTAGCCATAGTAACCATCTAATTTTTGCCTGGCTGGCAGCGTGGCTCTTGCGGTGTGACTTAGTTGTCACTGTCTGGTGATCTGAACTCTGCGACGTATATCTTGCGATTCCCGCTGTCACGTGGACACTGATATTGACGTTCTGTTATAAATGAGCCAAGTGGTGTTATAGGGGGAACACTTGTGCTCAGCATGTGGGGTGGTCCACGTGGTATACTGCTGGTTTTGGAAGTGGGATCGTGATAATTGGCTTTCTATTCCCCTACTCTGATTACCCCTTCCCCTCGTAGTGTTGCATGTTTTCTATATGAGACGAGGGTTTCAGAATAGGAATAAGTATTTACATTACAATGGGCAGTTAATCCCCTTGGTAGGAGGGCAATGAATGCTGCTCATCGCGTTGGAAAGGGCGTGCTCTTGTGTTGCCATTACAACTGATTAGGACGAGGGTTCTGACAGGTGGCACGTTTATGATAAACTGGATGTTTGCAGGGACGTTGGACCCGATTTCCAGCAAGTGTTGCTCCCCACCAATAGATGGAGCCTTCCTGAGCGTGCTTGCGGTGTCTGCTCTTACCAGCACCTCTAGCATGTACTCGGCCTGTTAAAAAAATAATCATAATAAAAAAATTGGTGAGTAGTGGAGCCAGGCCGGTTGTCGAGTATCCATTTAGAGGTAGCCTCCATATCCAGCCAGGCTGGCTGCTGAAAGATACTCTCATGGCTCGGCACCCACCCTCGACAACACCCTGGACTTTATTTAAGAAAAATTAGGATTTTTCCAAATTAGATGGGGACGTAATTAACATCAGATCAGATGCATTCGGGATTTGTTGTGAAGGCCGTAATGTACGTCCAGGAACATTCAAGTGTGAGTTTGGATGACCTAAGGGCATAGGCACACTAGGACTTCTCTAGATGTATCTGACATTAGTTACGGCCAGACCTGGATGAATTGGAGCGCGATCACGTCCAGAGCTTAGTAGAAAAAGTCCTAGTGTTAGTATGCCCTAAGAGGCTAAGGGGCTCGCTGCACTACTCTAGATTCGAGCTTTTTCTTGGTGTGGCATGGCTGCACTTACTCAAGAAATGGGTGCTCGAAAACCTGTTCTAGAGCTGTCAGAACCACTCTAGAAAAGTAATAGAGTCGTCATGGTGAGCTGTCAGAACCACTCTAGAAAATTAATAGAGTCGTCATGGTCCACTTACTGGATACGTTCGCTCTAGATTTTTCATTTCTTGAGCTGTCAGAGCGGGTCGGTCCTTCTCACTCCAGATTGATCTACAGCACCAGGCTGAGCCTGCAAAGGCAGTTTTTTTTAGGGAGGTCCAGAGGACCCTTGAAATGCCTTGGTTTTCCTTGAGTGGGCCTTGACTCTGGACGGACAACCCAGGCTGGTGCTATCCTGTACTGAAATGGCCGAACTCAGAAAGTGACAGAGCAACTCTAGCTTTTCTAGAGTCTAGAGCTAGTGCGGCAATGCGCAGATTTTAGGACTTTTCGTGACTCTGGCAGCTCTAGAACGTACTATACATAGTGGAGCGAGAGGATGAGATAGAATATATACAAAAGAAGATTGAGAGAAGAATATAGATTACTTTTTAAAGAAAAGAAAAAAAAAGAACGACTCTATAATTTTTTCACGAGTCTAGAGTAGTGCAGCAAGCCCCTAAGACTGGGACACTTTTGACTAAATCTGGCGGTAAGTGCGATCAGATTCGTCCAGGAATGTTGTAGTGAGGATACCGACAGTGTATTTACTCTCTTTTGATTGTTTTTTTTTTTTTTTTTTTTTTTTTTGTATTCATTCACCTTCACTACCTACCTACCACTACAGTAACCCCAAGGCTTATACAGGGGACCCCTGCGAACATAGCTTTGTTGTCTCCCTCCAGTCATCAGAAGGCATGTTGGCCCCTACCCCAACTGTGGTGGTCAAGGATGCGGTGGGGCCGCCGGTGGGGGTCCGGATAACACAAAGACCGAGCATTTTGCCAGAAGCTGCACCTCCCTTTTCATTGCCCCCCACCCCCAACCAAATAACAGCAGTGTCTAGGGCCAACACTCTCCCACACACCACATGCACCCCACTCACACTCGCACTCACACTCGTGTTGGCCAAGGACCCTACTAATACAGAGCAGAGGTATCAAGTGGACTATCACCGCTGGTTGGCACTAAGTGTGCCACAGTCTCTCGTGGTGGTAAGAGAACCGGCGAGATAGAGGCCTTACTGTGGACGACTCCAGCCCATTGCTGGGGAGCTTGACCTGCTGGAAACACGAACAGTTACTTGCTGAAAGCATTACCCAGCTTCACTTGTAAATGGCATTGGGCCTTGCTAAAAAACGATGGCGATGTATTTTTCCATGTTCTAGCAGAGGATTCAGTCTCATTTTGCACATTTGGAGAGCAGTGGAGCGAGGACCCTTGTGTGTCTGCAGAGTCTCTTCAGCCCAGAAGGCTGCCTGACATAATGCAAGTCTTGCTCTACAGAGACAGAAATTACCACGTAGAGGCCCTCCTCCATTCTTCACCCGAATAGCACGCCCGGTCATTATAGCTGTATTTGGTGCAACTTCAGTCTAGATACAGTGATAATGACCCAGTGTTATATTCAGGTGTGAAGAGGGTAGCCTTCTTCGAGATCATCCACATGGGGAGGGGACTCAGTCACCTCATCCCAAAGGTGTCTAGAGATTGGCCCTGCTCAGAGAATGAAACCCATTTGAACAGGGTACTCCATCTGGCCAACATTTTACCTCTGGCCGAAGCACCTGTTAGCTTGTTATTTTGGACCCGGAGGTTCCCTTCATTCTGCATCAATGAGATTACGGATTGAATATCTAAACTTGTTGCAGATGGCAGAGGGAGACCAAAACTTCCACTTGAATCTTCTGTCTCTTCTAGCCATCCACAGAACTCAGAAGCCCAATACTCTCAACTTATTATTATTACTAGCTAAGCGCCCGCGGTGTCGGCGGTGCGGGCCATGCCCGCAAAAATAAGAAATGTTGTAGGCGACCTGACACGGACCACTCGCATAAACTGACACAGACTTAAAAAAAGAAAAGAAAACTAATCACAGGGTAATACAGAATAGCCTAAAACTGGTTACTAAGTCCAAGTTTAATTGACAAATAACTTAGCGTCCGCGGACCACGAGCTTGGAAAGGCTGGAGACTGAAACAAACAAACACTCATACACAATACCCTTCTTGCAAACATTCATATGGAACTATGGCTGTCTCTTATACACATCTAGATGTGTATAAGAGACAGATACAGAATAGCCTAAAACTGGTTACTAAGTCCAAGTTTAATTGACAAATAACTTAGCGTCCGCGGACCACGAGCTTGGAAAGGCTGGAGACTGAAACAAACAAACACTCATACACAATACCCTTCTTGCAAACATTCATATGGAACTATGGGGGGCGGGCGCAGCGCTACCGGGAGCGCTGCGCCCCGCCCGACGCTATGTGCTCCTGGAGATGGCGCGCGGCGGGGATGGCGGCCTTTTTTGAAGTTCTGGCGCTTAGCGCACGCGCAGGAGACCGCAGGCGCTTGACCACACCATCTCACAAGTTGATGTGTCTGAATCCCGGTGACGTTTAGTTTCTGGGAGTTCCGCGTTTTGCTCCATTGCCGCTGCGTTGCTGCACGTGGCTTTCGGCCTG